TTTACATTCACCAGTTCATACTCATTTTGTTTTGTGACACTGATTACATTTCCCATACTGCATATGGACATTTTTATAGTACATACAGACAAACATGTAAGAATATCATCTGCCCAGCCTACTTATGGTTGTGGGTATATTCATGTTCACCTACCCATACCTTATCGTTTTGCCTATCTATCTATGTACCTACCCATAGATTAGTGTTTACTATTACTGATAATGTAGTACTGTGTATGCAATTGTATTTGCCTTTATTGTGTGTACCTCTTGTGCACTTTCCATGTCTTCCTTTTCCTCAGTGATACTGTGCTGGTCACATATGCTTTTTATACTGCCTTTCTCTTCACCCAAATCAACACCTGTCTCTTAAGTACCAAGAAATCATTCATCCCTTTCCTTTCCATCCCTGATAACCAACAAAGATTAGCCTCTTTTCACTTAAAAAAAAAAAAAAATTCAAGATATTATTTATTTATCTGAGGTAATATTTATATGTGGTAAAATCCACTGACCTTAAGTATACAATCTGATGTGTTTGGATAAGTCTTGTATATTTTAATTTTGTTAAAATAAAATAGAAGTCTTTACACTATTCTGTTTTTCCACAGCTATTTAAATATCTCATTTATCATCAGTATACAATGTAATTACTAAAATATTTGAAGGTGATATTCTTTACTATTTATTTAGAATAAATGCATTTAATAAACAAAGTAGCAACTATTTGAAAATGTATTTTAGAATTTGTCATTAATAATTATAGACACAAAACTGATTGTCACATCATACTATTAGGGAAACAGAGGCACAGAGAAGCCAAAGGATTTTTTTTTTTTTAATTGAGCACTTCCTGTATGCCAGTCTTTGTGCCAAGTGCTTTATATTCATAATGTCATCTAATCCTCTAAATACCCCTTTTGGATAAGTTTTATGATTGTTATCCTCATTTTTAAGAAGAGGAAGCAGAAGCTTAGGAAGATGAAGAAACCTGAGATAAAACAACTGAGTCACAGCCATGATGAGTTAAAGTGAGACAGGACCATTGGAGGGAACTTATCCCAGGACTGTGCCCTTCACCACTGCACCAGTGAGTGACTCTAACAAAGGACTTTCTTAAGTTGATAGAGTGATTCCTAAGCTACCCAGACACCAGTAGCATTTGGCAGCCTGTCAATTAAGTTTCATGTCCAGGAACTCCTTGACATCAATTTGTCAAAAGAAATACAGTTGGCAAAATCAGACTTTTATCCTAGTCATAACAATCCTTACCTGGTAAAATCAACACTCTGTCACTCGAGGTCAGAGGATGTCCATCTTTGTACCATGTCAGTGTAGGAGGAGGAGAGGCATTTGTCTCACAGTAAAGAGAAATGGGATTGTTGATGATCACGTCCTTGGCTTCACCAGTCCTGCCTGTATCAAGCATGTTTCCTATTTCCCAGAGTTTTTGAAAACTTGGAGGAACTATGGAGGAAACACATTAAATCTTGGTCATGTGTGAATGTCAGTGTCCATTCTTTAAACACAGGTCCTGGCTTTATTTTCACAGAAGTGATTTGTAAAGAAAATAAATTGCATAACGTGAAAGTAGTTTCAAGTGTTTATACACCTATCAACCCTAGTCCCAAGTCATTTAACCAATAAAAGAAGAAGCAAGAGGTCAGTGCTGTTTTTCCTGTGGAAGAGAAACAAAACTGTGGTGCCTAGAGTGCTGGGCTTATGGCTTTGCTCTCCATGTGAAAGGGCTGAGGTGCTTAGAAGATGAATGTGTCCATCCTCAAGGTTGTTGTTGTTGGCTGCTGTCAAGATCATCTGCTACTCATGCTGACCCCACACACAAGGCCTTACTATAATAAGCATGGCACAGGAATATGGTAATAAGAAAAACTCATATTGAGGAACTATTGAAACAGTCCTGGCTCATTTGAGAGCATTTCCCAATTATTTGTGTTACTAAGATAGCTAAGGAACTTATGCAATCTGGATTTACAAACTTATTAATAAAAATAATAAACCATTCTCACACTTTTCTGATGGAACAAGAATGAACTTTCTAAAAGGTAATTTGTGTATACATCAAAAGTATTAAAATATATATATAACATTTGAGCTAACAATTCCACTATTAGAAACTTGTTACACAAAATTAAAGATGTGCAGATCAATGGCATCCACAAGATGGTGGAGTAGGTAGTTCCAAGTTGCTGTTCTCCCATAGAAACATTAAAAACAAGCAGAAACTGTCAGAATCAACTTTGTCAGAACTATGTAAAATAGGTTTGCAGCAATCAAAAGAATGCTGAATCAAAACAAAACAAAACCAAACAACAAACTTACAAAGGTAGGATAGCTTTGAGGCAATTTTAGTAGTCTGGGCTATGTTCCTTCCCTGGCTCAGTGGCAGTCATAAAGGCAGTCTGTCAGTTCTGGTGTGAGTTCCTCGTCTGTGATTTGGAAGGGAGCAGAGCAGACCTTACTTACAATTATTGTGTTTGTCTGTTCTAAACTGTCTGGAGGGTACCGGAAGAATTGCTGCAGGGCAGTCATCTCTGTTTTACTTACCTTAGAACTCACTCATGGTGAAAAAGTGCCAGATGTTGCTGGAAAACACTATATTCATTTGGGACAAAAGAGAATAGTTGAGACATTTTATAGACTGCCTAAGGCCTGGAGGAAAGGAGGGGGAAGAATTTCTGTGGGAAATGTGGAGATTCAAAACCACCATGTATATGAAGAAATTTGGAAAGTCACATATGCCTAGGATAACACATATGCTCAAAAAAGACCTGAAAAACCCTAAACTTTCACCTTGGATTGATCTCTGTAGGATCAATGTAAGCTTGACTAAGAATTGAAGGAGTGCCTCAGAACAAAGCTAATCTACACAGACTGGGAGAGGGGTTGCTTGTGTGTGTGTGTGTGTGTTTTAGCTCCTGGTGTTCAAGAAAATCTTTGTTAAAACATAAGCCAAACACACAGAGACTTCAGTGACCACAAATGAGAAAAATAGTCTTTACAAAAATACTTTGGGAAAGTTACTAAACCAACACACTAATATAGCCTTCAACAATGAAAAAAAATAACAATAAAAAGCAAAAGAATGAAGTTGGATCCCCACCTCAAAACATATACAATAAAACCTGTGAAATCTAAGAACCTGTTTAAGAAGGAAAATGCAAATAAATATTTTCCACTAAAATGAGTGATAGAAAAGAGCTAACATTAAACCGTATCCAAGGTGGAAAACTTGCAAGACTCAGAAAAACAAGGCAGTCTCATTGAATTCTAACTCTCACAGGTTTCCCTGTACAAATATCAGCTCACAATGAATCAATGACCTAAATTTGAGTTAAAAGCATAAAACTCTTGAAGGAAACATAAAGGTAAATCTTTATGGTCTTAGATTTGGCAATGGATCCTTAGATATGGAGCTAAAAGCATGAGTTACAAAAGGAAAAAATAGATAAATTGAACTTAATAAAAATTTAAAAAGTTTGTGCTTCAAAGGACGTTATCAAGAAAATGAAAAGACAGTCTACTGAATAGGAGAAAATATTTACAAATCATATGTCTGAATAAGGGTCTTGTATCTAGAATATACAAAGAACATACAACTCAAAAAAAAAGATAACTTAATTAAAATATGGGGAATGGACTTGAATAGGTATTTTCCAAAGAAGATATAAGAATGGTCAATAAACAGATCAAAAATGCTCAATACCATTAGTCATTATAGCAATAAAAACCAAAGATGCAATGAGATACTTTTTTACACCACTATGATGACTACTGAAAAGAACAGCAATAGAGAAAATAACAAATGTGTTGACGGAGTGTGGAGAAATTGAAACATGTGTATTGCTGGTAGGAATGCAAAATGGTGCAGCTGCTATGAAAAACAATTCAGCAGTTCCTCAAAAGAGTAACCACAGAATTTTCATATGGCTCAGTAACTCCACTCCTGGATATAAGCCCTCCAAAACTGAAAATAGAAACTCAAACAGACATTTTTACATAAGTGTTCACTGCAGTATTATTCACAGTACTCAAAAAGCAGAAACAATCCAATTGTCCATCAACAAAAGAATGGATAAATAAAATGTGGGATATATACTTTATGGAATATTATTCAGCCATAAAAAGGATGAAGTTCTGAAACCTTAGATGAACCTTGAAAACATAGTGTTAAATGATTTAAGTCAGATACAAAAGCACAAATACTATATAATTCCATTTATATGAAATATCTGAAGTAAATATATACAAATTATAAAGCAAATTTAAAGAGAGAGAAAGTAGATTAGATGCACCAGGGACTGGTAAAAAAAAGAGTTATTACTTATTGGATACAGAGTTTCTGTTTAAGGTAATGAAAAAGTTTTGAAAAAATATAGTAGTGATGGCTGTACAATATTGAAGATGTAATTAATGTCACTGAAATGTACACCTAAAAATGGTTAAAATACTATTTTTATGTTGCATGTATTTTATCATAATAACTTTGAAAAATAAAGTAATATTTTAACTCTGACAAAAATAATGAAAGATGTACAAAAGTTTTATGTATAAAGATGTTTATAGTTAATAGTGAAGTCTATAGTTAATAGAGAAGCATTGTTAATAAAATAGAAACTTAGAAACAAGTCAGACATTCAACAATAAAATCTGGTTAAACAGATATCTGGACATTCAACTGAAAAATTAAGATAGTTACTAAAAATAATTTTGACTATTGACTGCAAGAATAATAACATCAATAAAATAATAGCAGGTCTTTATATCTTAAGCATTTGCTAAGAGATTTACATAGTTTGTATCATTTTGAATTCACCTCATTTTTACAAAGCATTATTTTCAAAGCAAGGAAACTGAGGCTAAAAGTATTTAGGTAACTAGCTCAAGTTACATACCTCAATTTAAGTCTGATTACTCCAAATTGTTTATGATTTTCTTCAATGCTTAATGCTATGAAAAAATCTTCATGATATATTGTTAAAGGACAGCTATTGTAAACAAGAGCATGTATTATGTGGTTCCAATTTTGGGTATGTATTTGGAAATATCAGAAGGAAATACATTAAAATGATAACAAAAAGGTTAACCTGAATGATGGGATGATTTTGTTCATTGTTAATTTCTTGAGTTCAGATTTCCAGTAAAATTTATATTATTGTTAACAGAAAACAAAACAAAACAAAACCACTATTTAAAAATAAGCCAAGCCAAGTCTCTTTTCATTGCTTTGACAGAACCTATAACTTTTTTATCACAAAAACATATTAGTATTACCTTGTATATTTACATCAAAATCCAGTTCATCTTCACCTGCAATGTTAGATGCTACACAAGTATATCGGCCAGTGTCTGATATTTGAGCTTCCTTTATTTGAAGTGTGTGTCCATTTGCAGCAATGTTAACATGATCGTCTGATTTAAGGGGCTGTGATTCAATGGTAATAATGTTAGCATCCACACACTAATAAATCTTTTAAGAGACTATGCAGCTGATACTTTTTATGACTTTTAAAAAACACAGCAATAAAATTTAGTGTAAAATATTCAAAACAATATTTAATTAGATTAAACTAGTTGCTTTGGAATAATCATTTTTATTCATTGAACTTGTAGCTGATAAAGTTTTTATACTTGTGCTAGGTGTTTGTGATGGTTTAGTTATACATTTTCTGACGGAAAAAATATGTTCTCAGGAACAGTACACATTTATCTAAGTAGAAAAAATATTTTCAGCTGATTCCAGATTGAATTTTAAAAAAGCATGTCTTTTATGACAATTTTGCAGAAAATGCTACAAATTTTTATGAAAAATTCAATCTCTCCTAACCCAGAGAAAAGTCAATCATTATAATCTTCCTTGTTTAAGTTCTCAGCCCTTTACACCCTTTCCATTTTTTGTACTTCCCTGGCAAAATCCTCCAAAACAAAACCCATTGCTATCAAGTCAATTCCAACTCATAGTAACCCCATTGGGTTTCTGAGGTTATAAATCTTTACAGAAGTAGATTATCCCATCTTCCTCCACAGAGTGGATGGTGAGTTTGAACCACCAACCTTCTGGTTAGCAGTCAAATGCCTTAGGCACACCACCAGAGCTCCTTAGCAAAATCCTAACCCTTGTTAAGTTCTCTGTCCCTTCTGATCATCCCTTTGTCTAGTCAAGAGTCCTTCCAGCACTGTCTCTTATCTATATTTTCCCCAATTAACCTTTTTCTACTAGACCATTTCTATCTATTTACAAAATGGTATAATTTTCCCTATTTAAAAAAGAAAAAAAAATTTTGATGGCAACCCACCTCCAGTTATCAGCTATAATTTTTTATTCCCCTTTATAGCCAAATGAGTTTTATATATTTTATAAAACTTTTGTTCCAACTTTTCTTGAATCTGACACATTTTTACTTGTATCTATTTTGAAATATTGCACTGGGCAAATGTGCTACAAATGACTTCTTCAAAGTGTTAATAAGCAAAAATGTCACTTTGAACACTAAGGTATGCCTAACCCATGCCATTGTATTTTCAATAACCTCATACATGTGAGAGCTGGACAATGAACAGGGAACATCATAGGAGAATTGATGCATTTGAATTGTAGTGTTGGCAAAGAATATTGAATGTACTAGGGACTGCTAGAAGAATTAACAAATCTGTCTTGGAAGAAATATAGCCAGAATGCCCCTTAGAAGTGAGAAAAGTCAGAAGGGACTCATCCCTGGAGAAGGATATTGTCCTTAGTAAAGTAAAGGGTCAGCAAAAAAGGGGAAGACCCACAAGAAGACAGACTGACAGAGTGGCTATGCTGGACTCAAGCGTGGCAACCATTATGAGGATGGCACAAGACCAAGCAGTGTTTCATTCTGTTGACATAGGGTCGCTATGAATCAGAACTGACTTGATGGCACCTAATAAGAACAACTACTTTGAAATATTTTTTTCCCCTTGTCCATAGGGCCATGACATTCCCAAAGCCCTAACCTTTAAATGTAGCAATACTCTTAAGCCTTAATTCTCAAATCTCTTCACTTTCTATCTAAACCCACTTTCCTAGTGACCTCTTCCAAGATCTTAGGTTCATCTTTGACTCATCTCTTTCCCTCACACTTCATATCTGATTTCAGCAAATCCTGCTACCACCTTGGTTGAAGCAACCAACATCTCTCTCCTGGACCATTATAGCACCTTCATATCTGGACCTTCTCTAAATCTGCCCCCAACACAGAAGCCAATTTTGAAAGCTTAAGTCAGATTATGTAACTCTTATGTTCAAAACTTTTCAGTGAATTCTCATTATACTGAGAATAAAGGATAACTTGTCTACAAGGCATTGTGGTCTGGCTCTTCATTACTTTTCTGTTCTTATCTTTCTCTATTTTCCTATTGGTCACAGAATTTGAGCCAAAATGCCTCAAGGACTTTGCCCTTAGTATTCTCTCTCTGTCTTGGAATAGTTTCCTCTCAGATAATTATGTTTGTGTCCTTCAATCTTTTCAAGTGTTTGGTGAAATACCATCTTATCAGTAAGGGCTTTCCTATTTAAATAGTACAGGGAGCTCTAGTAGCATAGTGGCTAAGACACTTGCCTGCTAACCAGACGGCTGGTGGTTCAAACCC